AAAAAAATTTAAAAAAAAAAAAAAAAAAAGAAATGGCTATATGTTTATTAAACAAATTGAATTCATAATAAGAATGGGCATGGTGGCGGATGCCTTGTAATCTCAACTACTGGGAAGGGGCTAAGGCAGAAGGGACCACAAGTTTGAGGCTAGCCTCAGCAACTTGGCAAGGTCCTGTCTCAAAAAAGAAAAATGCCTGAGGATGTGGCTCAGTGGTAAAGCTCCCCTGGGTTCAGTCCACAGTCACACACTCTCCCACTCAAGGACCAAAGTAATTCATTTCAAAAAATGATGTGGGGCCAGGTGTGGTGGTGCACGCCTAAGTCCCAGCAGCTTGGGAGGCTGAGGCAGGAATATGGTGAGTTCAAAGTTCAGCAACAGTGAGGCACTGAGCAGCTCAGTGAGACCCTGTCTCAAATAGGGCTGGGATGTGGCTCAGTGGTCGAGTGCCCCTGAGTTCAATCCCCAGTACCAAAAAAAAAAAAAAAAGGGAACAACCATAGAGTTACGGGGGGGGGGAAAACCTCTTGATCTCATGCCATGTACTATAATTAACTTGAAGTGAACTTGTAAAAGGCCAAACTTTTAGGCTTCTGTAAGAAAAAAGAAAAATCTTATGATCTAGGCAAATATTTTATAAATTCCATAAAGCACAGTTAAAGGGGGAAAGTGTAGTGGGGAAGTCCAGCAGTAGTGGTTCCAGAACCCTCTCCCCTAATCTGCTGTGTCCAAGTCCCTGGCATAAAATCCTGCAGGCATCTTCCCATGTCATTTTGGTCACCTCTGCAGTGCTTATGCTACCTTAAGATACAGGGCAGTGCTGTGTGACTGTTGTGTCACTGATGGCTCAGGGAGCAGCCGGTGAAGGTCTGCACGTTCAGTACAGACGCAGGTTTTCCCCTAGGTATTTTCAGTCCATGAATTTGGAACCCGCAGGTACAGAGAGCCAGATAAAGGGGAGCTCAACAAAATGGAAGCACCCCTCTCCCTCCCCGTTTTCTTCTTTTGCAGTGCCAGGGCTGGAACCCAGGGCGTCCCATGTGCTAGGTGGGCCACAACTGGTAGTGCTCAACTGCTCATGGCACCTTTATTTTATTTTTGAAGTTTAATTGTTATGTACTGGGAATTGAACCCAAGGGTGCTTTATCACTGAACTATATCCCCAGCCTTTTTATTTTTTAAGACGAGGTCATGCTAAGTTGCTAAGGCTGGCCTCAAACTGGCGATCTAAATGTCCCATCCTCCCAGGTTGCTGGGGTTGCAGGTGTGCACCACCACGGCCACACCTTCAGTTTCAATAGACGTTAAGTGGGAAATTGCACAGTGCTGATGGGCAGGTGCTGATGTAAACAGGATTTGTCAGCTCCGCAGAGTGGGACCTGGGGAAGGAGCGGGTCCCTGGTCGGCACAGCGCAGAGGACTCTCAGGTACCAGAACCAACATGCTGTGGTTTTTGGTTGTGCTCTAGGACTGAGGCCTGTCTAGGGACAGGTGAAGGCAGCACTGCCTGTACAGTGGGGGGAGAGGAGGGGTACTAACTGCAAAGCCCCCAAAACTCCAGGGGACCCGGGGCCTTTCTTGCCACAGTGGGCGTGTCTGTGGAAACTACAGTGTACCCTTAAAATGGGTTCATGTTTGGGGGATAGAAATCCTGCCTCCAGATTAATTTTTCAAAAAGTGACAGTGTAGCCAGATGTGGTGGCACATGCCCCTAATGCCTGTGATCCCAGTGGCTCAGGAGGCTGAGTCAGGAGGATCAAGAGTTCAAAGTCAGCCTCAGCAGCTTAACAAGGTACTAAGCAACTTAGTGAGACTCTGTTTTTAAACACAATATAAAAAGGGCTGGGGATGTGGCTCAGTGGTTAAGTACTCCTGAGTTCAATCCCTAGTACTCAGAAAAAAGAAAAAGGTAACCCTCCTAGTGCAGACTTTGGATTGGGAGTGGGTCCTCAGAAATTGCTGTGTGTGCGGCTGGAGAGATGAGGGAGCAGAAATAGCCTGGCCAGCCCTTCCCCTGCGAAGTGCTCCTTGTGACAGCTGCCAGTGATTTTAGAAAATAGGGGCACCTTCTTCTTTTTTTTTTTTTTTTTAAAGAGAGAGAATTTTTTTTTAATATTTAATTTTTAGTTCTCGGCGGACACAACATCTTTGTTGGTATGTGGTGCTGAGGATCGAACCCGGGCCGCACGCATGCCAGGCGAGCGCGCTACCTCTTGAGCCACATCCCCAGCCTGGGGCACCTTCTTTAGTTGACCTCTCTCTGTGTCTCCCCACATCTGGGATCTTTGCTGTTAAAATTGGAATTGTCCCAGGGCTGCCCAATGTTCTGGGCAGTCGAAAGGCCAGGTTTGTAGATGAGGTCCTTCTGAGTGGCACTCGACAGGCATTAGCTTTGAGATAAGGGGGTGTGGGGACAGTGCTGAGAGCTTCAGCAGCTTGTGTCTTCAGAGCAGCTGCAGCATGGGCCACACTGCGCTGGGTGTCTTCTTGGCTGGGCCCTGAGCTGGTCGCGTGGGCAGGGCCCCAGGAGTACAGCCCTTGCTGAGGCCTTGGCCTTCCTTGTTCCTTGTCTCCCAGGAGTATGCGCAAGCCAGATTTGATGCCTATTTTGACCAGAAGAGGAAGCTTGGGGTGTGATTGGGGAGGAGCAGCCCTTCGCCACTGGACTGCGGGAGACCGCGAGCCGGGCCCTCTGCGCTGTGACCTGCAGCATGAAGGCCCAGACGTCTCTGAACACAGATGTGTATGATAACGAAGACTATTAAAGTGGAGTGACATTTATCTCATCCCTTGTTGACGATCTCACTAGGACTTGGACGAGGTGGGGAAGCAGAGTGTAGGCAGTAGAACAGTAGATCAGCCTCTGAGCCCCGGAACCAGAGGCGGCCTTTCGCGCCGGGCTGTGAGGCTTCCGGTGGGCACGGCCGCCAGCGGGAGCAGACAGCATTGCTGCAGGTACTTCGGTTAATGTTTTTTGTTTTTTTTTATTTTAAATTTATCATTAATATACTGGTGAACGTTGTAACCAGGCTTCTTGTAGGTGACAATGTGATGTAGACACTCTTGCTCCCAAGGGACACGAGGGAGTGGACACACTGTGAAGTGGCTCCCCGGGCAGCATGTATCTCTGGGCAGAGCGACGGCAGCTGGAGAAGCAGGCTACACAGGAGCAGCCAGGAGCTCTGCGGGCAGATGGCTGCGGCCCTCCTGTGCCTGCTACATATGTTGATACCTGGACAAGCTTCTCTATGACTGGACATGACTTGCACCCGCCCCTTCTGACTGGTGTGCTTTGTAACTCTGGCTTCACAGTGTGGGGACCTCAGCCCCCAGCCTTTCTCTCCTTCCCTCTCCTGGCCACAGGCAGCCTCCAGGGAATCCTTCCGCGTAGGCTGCTGCCCTGGCCTTGACCAGCATTCCCAGCCCCATCCCTCACCCCCACCCCCACCCCCACGTCCTAGTGTCACTCTGGGAGACACCGGCACTGACGTGGGTTGTGGTGCAATGGAGCAGAGCTGTGAATCCATGAGCATTAGTGTCCAGTGGGTAAATTTTAGCCAACTTTTTTACTCCAAATTCTGAATTGTTTTTGTGCATATATTTCTGCTATCACAGAGATTGTACTACACAGATAAATAATAAAATTAAGACTCAGCCTCAAGCTGTTCTCTGGATGTGTCCTAACCTTGTGCCCATGGGAGGTTCTAGATGGCAGTGTCCTGCCCTAGCTGTGGGCAAGAGCATCTGACTCTCCTCCTCCTGTGACACTTCTCTGTCCGCCATGTTCTGGTTTTCCTCTGGACTCCCCAGTCCCCAGGGTCTGCCCTTGGCCCCAAGTCCCATGGGGCTCTTGCCCAGCATGCTGGCCCTGGGACAGCCTGTTACCCTCCCTGACTCAACCCAGCTCTGTGCCTGCTGATTCTGCAGAGGAAATTGGGACAGTGGCTGTCTGGGGAGTGGAGAAGATGGTGGGGGAGGCAGGAGGGGACTTAACTGTTTACCCATCTGGACACTCAGGATCTTGAGCAGGACAGGATGTGTGATCACTCACCACTTAGGTCACCTGGCCCTACTCCAGCTCTGGCTCCAGCCACACTTGAACAGCCCCGCTTGCTCACAAGCCCTGGGCCAACCTAGATGCCTTGGGGTCAGGTCTGCAGGTAATGGGCTCCTTCAGGGGAGTCCTGCCAGGCCGTGCAGCACCCTCACACCTCTGAATCCTTCCATTGAAGATGGTGCACAAAATTAAGCCACCCTGACCTGTTCTCCGTGAAGCTCAGCTGACCCTAGAGTGCTATCTGTCTGGGTCCTCCCCTGAGCCAGACCGTAACCTTGAGTGAGAACTCAGCCCAGCCTGGTCACTGCCAGTCCTCAAGGCAGGTGACCCTGAAAGGTGCCACCCCACAGCCAGGCATGTGCTGTTTCCATGGCAACCCACTGGTGTCTCCCCAGGAGACCTCCATTAGACTGTGAGCCTCTGCTGTCACATACCCCCCCCAAGGTCTGCTCAACTCTGTTCCCCAAGGATCAAAGCCACCGACTAGCCCAGGTCCCTTCACAGCCTGAACCTGTGTTGCCCCCCGCCCCCGCCCCAGCCATTCGTGGCCAGGCACTGCCGCCCCCTCTCTGGGCCCAGTCTTCCAGGCATGTGAACTACCACAGTCTCTTGCACGCCCACCTGGCCTCTGGGGTCCTCAACAGGACAGTCCAAGATCCAAGGGTCAGGCCCCTTTAGCAGCTGGCCACGGCCACAGCCACAGCCATCTCACTGTGCCCAGGGCAGCGCTGGCCTCAAAGCTGCCTTTGTTCTTGGTGCTCTAGCTGGAAGAACTACTTAGTAGCCTGTTGGCCTCTAAAGCACTGGCTTCGGCCTCCGCTGGCACAGCCAGAGGGGACTTGGGGAGGTCGAAGCCCACCCCCACCACTCATGCAGGGAGGAGACCAGGGAGGGATGAGATGATGGCCTTGGGATGGGGACTGAGCCCCCTTCTGACCCTCAGGGCCCTGGGCAAGTCTTCGCGGCTCTGGACAGCCCCTGCCTTCCCCACAGGACTGTGGCCCTGGGTGGGTGACCCATGGTCCCATGTGGAGCAGCAGGCCAGGCTTGGTGTCCCTGCTGCTCCACTTCAGAGTGCCTCAACCTCTGGGAACCTGTACAAGGTGTGGAACAGAGGTGCCAGCCACTCTGCATACCTCCAAGGACAGGGACCTCACTCCCCTGGCCTGGCTGGAAAGACAGTCCAAGCTAGAATGTGTTGGAAATGTCCCTCCCTCCCCCTCCCCCGCAGTCTGGTTCTTTGCAGGTGTGTTTGTGGGGATCCTTGCCCCCCACAGAGGGAGTAAGGGAGACAGGTATAGGGACTGGTGGAGGCCGGCTGGCAGAGCCTGGTACCCAGGGCCCTGCCCTCCTGGTCTCAGTCCAGCCCCTGGGGGAGGAAGAGGCCTGGGTGCGGTTCCTGGGCCTGGGGCTCTTTATTCCTTTTCTGCCTTAGGAAGGTAAGGAGGAGGGCATGGCCCGCAGGGGGCGCTATTCGTCCTGGATGGCGAAGGTGAAGGGGCTCAGCTTGTAGCCCGTGCCTGCGTAGAACTTGTTCTGGAACTCCACCCTGGGGACCAAGGGGCAGGCTGGTCAGGGGAGCCCCCACCCATCCTGCCACCCAGCCACCCCGGGTACTCACCAGTGCAGCCGCAGGGCGTGCAGGAAGGCAGACAGCCCTTCCATTACCAGCAGGATGGCTACGGTCATCACTGCGAAGGCGGCAAAGACCAGGACCAGCACCACAGACACCACGCCCACCTCCCCGCACATGCGCAGGCCCACGCGCATCACCATGGCCCACAGCACCTCGGACAGCTCTGCGGAGGGAGCGGGCCGTGGGGTCAGGCAAGCGGGCACCCCCAGCCCCTGGAGGCCTCCCTGCTCAAGGGGCCCGGGAGGAATGCTGAGGCCCAGAGGGAAGGGCCCTGCCCAGGTCACCGAGACAGCTGCTGTGTGTGAGCTGGAGCAGGATGTGGGACACCCTGGCTGCCCACTCTGCTGCGGCAGACCACTTACGGGCGTGGGCCAGGCTCAGGGCCCAGAGGCGGAGGTAGGAGGCCGTGTTGGAGATGCAGCCCAGACAGAACTCGATGGTGTGGATGGCCTGGTGCATCAGGACCTCGGAGGCCACAAACTGGGGAAGGGTGGCAGTGAGAGGGCTGGCAGGGGCCGGCAGCCAGCTGCCCCCTCAAGGTGGCACTGCACCCACCTCGGCCTCCTCTTCACCCCCTGGGCACCTCGCCTTCTCCTCGTCAGAGCTCCAGCCCTTCTCGCAAGCATCGGAGGAGTCCACGCACCTGGCCTTGTCCTCATTGTTGTCCTGGAGATAGAGGGTGAGGAGCAGGCGGTGTCAGCAGCCCCAGCACCAGGAGAGGCCCATCCTGAGGGCCTGTTACCTGCCACGCTGGAACCCGTGGGGAAGACAGTGGCCTCGTCTACCAAACTCCCCTACCACGTGCTCCCAAGCAGCTACCTGTTGGCCCACAGCTGGCCTCGGTGAGTGGCGGCTTCGCTGCCACCGGTGCAGCAGGTACAAGGGTGTGCCCAGCAGCAGGACAGGCACCATGGCCAAGGCCAGGACCACCAATGCGTGCTGCACCACTTCCTGCAGCAGAGGTGAGTCACTCAGAAGTTTGGACCACCTCCCCTCTCCCAGGCACCCAGGGGCTCTCCTGCCCATCAGTCACTAACAGAGACTGTCCCTCTGTGGGGCCTCAGGCCCACACCATGTTTCTCAGACGAGGACCCTCTGACTCTGGGTGGCCCAGAGTCTGCAGGGTCTCCATGAGGGGTGTGAGCCACTGCCTGGCCAGCCCACCTGCCCAGAGTAGAGCGGCTGGTTGGTGGGGCTGCTGGAGAAGAGGAACATGTTGATAAAGTGGATGAGGATGCTGGGGGCAGAGGCAGCATGCGTGACGGTCACACACAGCCACTTGTAGATGACCAGGAAGACAAGGTAGCCAAAGAGGCCCAGCAGGAAGATGAGCTCAGGCATGGTCTCCAGCAGCAGCCGGTGCCCTTGGCGGAAGTGCCTGGGGGGAGCAGGCAGGGTCACTGGGACCACCCCGGCCCCGCCCAGCTGCACACACCCCCTGGCAACTCCGCCCTCACACATGGTTGAAGACTCCGAGGAGCACCCCGAAGGCCATGTGGGTCACCCCCAGGATGACAGACATCTTCATCTTGAAGGAGTTGAGGAAGCTCAGGTGGTTGGTGGCCAGGCTCCAGACCTGGGTGGAGGGAGGGAGGGGCGGGCCACACTCAGGGAGCCCCTGCCTCCTGTTGCCCCGTTGGCCCCCTCAGGACTCTGCCACGGCCACGGGGGCCGAAGAGGGAGTGGTTGGCAACCAGAGCTCAAGCCCCAGCTCTTCCCAGCTGGGTGGCCTCGGGCCTGCAGCAGGGGCCTCAGTTTCCTAGTCTGTACCCGGGATCATGCTAATGGGCACCCAGGTTGTCACACAGACCACACAAGAAATCACTAAGGGCTCAGCAGTTCTAGGCAGCTGCACCTACAGGCTTCTGCTTACCTGGTGATGGTGACAGGCCCAGCCAGGCAAGTGCTGGCTGTCCCCCGTGCCTGGCACACAGAAGAGGCTTGGCACCAGCTGCCACCGTTAGGAGTGAATGAGCTGAAGTCCCTGCCCAGTCTCCCTCTGGCCACCACCCACATGGTGCTGCAGCTGCAGGACTCACCGGGTCGATGCCAAAGGGGTAGGGTCCCAGGAAGACACCAGTGACATTGGGGTCCAGGGTGAGCAGTGGGTGGTGGGACAGGAACGCGTCACTGGGGCAATGGTGGGCAAGTGGTCAGGGCTGCACGGGGCCTGGGGGGCCACAGGACAGGCTGGGACCGAGGGTGGGCTGGGGCCTTGGCCTCACCTCCAGCCTGACTGGTTGGCCATGGCGGCCACGCTCCAGCCCGAGGGGAAGATGGTAGTGGCGCGGCTGAAGCACTCGTTGTAGATGAAGCCGGTGTAGATGGAGAACAAGCCCATGAGTAGGAGCAGGTAGCGGCCCCCAAAGAAGGTCTGCCAGATCTGGGGGTGACGTGGTCAGGGGATGCCCAGCCCCCCCACCCCGTCCGTCCACCAGGCGCCCCCGGCCCGCACCTCATTCTGCGCAGTCCTCACGGCTGGCCGGTTCTCCGCCAGCACCATGGCCAGGGCAAAGAGGAACATGAGCAGCCCGTGGCCCACGTCGCCAAACATGACGGCGAAGAGGAAGGGGAAGGTGATGATGGTGTAAGGAGCTGCAGGCAGGGGGTGCGGGTCAGCCAGGACCACACAGGAGCTGGCATCTGTTCCCTTGAGGACCACAGATGACAGAGGCCCCACCCCACCCCAAGCTTAGGAGCATTTGTGAGGCAGGGACACCACTTGGGATTTCAGCATTTGCCACTGGTCATCTCTGTGACCTTGGGCTTGCTGTTTAACCTCTCTGAGCCTGTTTCCCCATCTGTAAAACAGGGAGAAAGGCAGGACCACTTCACAGGGTATTATAAATGAGTGTCCCCGGGCAGGACCTGGCAGGCCACAGGTTCCCGACGAAAAATCAATTATTTATTTTTGAGACAGGGCCTCCTGTTGCCCAGGTTGATGTGGATCTCCTAGAGATGATACTCTCTCCTCGAGTAGCGGGGACTACAGGTGCGAGCCCCCACGCCTGGCTGCTGCTGTTATTTTTAAAGAGTGTTAAGCAGAACCACAGAAAGGACAGAGAGTCCAGAAGCAATCCTGGAGGCCACACAGAGAGTTCCAGAAGGCCAAACCAGTCAGTGAGTCTCCCAAGTCCATTTCCCTTCAGTAAAATGGGGTAAGTTCTCATTTGGGTGCCAATTCTAATACACACAACCTACATGGGCTGAACAGTGACCCCCCAAGATTTCCTGCATGCTAACTCCCAGGACCTCACCGGGAGAAGGGTGTTACAGAGGTGGTCAGAAAAGATGAGGCCATCAGGGTGGGCTCTAATCTAACAGGGCCAGTGACCTTATGAGTGGGGAAATTTGGACAGAGGCGGACACAAAGGGTGGATCCCACGTGGTTGTGAAGATGGCCACCTACAGGCCCAGGACGAGGCCCACAAGGTTCCCCTTCACGGTCTCAGAAGGAACCTGCCTACCGACCCTTGAACTTGGACCTCCAGCCTGCTGGACCACAAGGCTGCAGCCCCCCCACTGGGACTAGCTGCACCACCAACAGCCCCACAGACGTGAGGAGGAGGGAGCCCCCCACCCCACCCAGGCCTGCACTCCATGGGGCAGCTGGGCCTCCCCAAGGCCCAGGCAGAGGGTCCAAGGGCTGTCCAGGGCGAGGGCCCCGTGGCTCTCACCGGGGTTGACCTCCTGGTAGCAGCCCACGCCGTAGGCATCCACGATGCTCTGGAAGCTGGCCGTGAAGCGGTTGGTGCGGATGAGGGTCGGGGGCATGTCCCTGCTGGAGATGCGGTGAGCCACGGCACTCACCCCCGCCTCGCTCTGGAATTCCCAGGAAAGAGAGATGGATGAGAGGGATGCGGAGCCTCGGGGACCCTGGGCTGACCCCTTGGAGGAGGTGGCTGGGAGGAGAGGGAACCCCCTCCCCCGGGGCAAAGGTGCTGAGAAAGGAGGGCGATGAGACCGAGGAGGGGTCTGCGGCAGCGGTGGAGTGGGCAAGCCCAGAGCCCGCTGCTCACCGAGCTCTCCCGCAGCGCCTGCTGCAGGGCGGGCAGGTCTTGCGTGGCACACCAGGCCTCCGCGACGAGGCACTTGTGCGTGCTGCTCACGCTGCACTGGTTGAGGGCCAGGTACACTGCCTTCATCTTGTGGACCTGCACCAGCCCCCGTGGCAGCAGCTGCTGCACCTGGCCCAGCACCTGGCTCAGGAACCCTTCTGTCTCCCGGAGGACCTGGGGCCAGAGCGAGTGGTCAGCAGGGGCTGGGCAGGAGGCGGGCAGGGGCCGGTTGGGTGGGCACCCACCTCCTGCAGCTCCTGGCTCTGCTGCTGCAGCTGCTGCAGGGTCCCATGCCGGGCCGCCTCTTCCTCCAGGAATGGGAAGATGTGGCAGTGGAAGCTGATTGGGACGGGGGACAGTCAGAAGGGAGCTTGCCAGGAGGGTGAAGGTGACATGGAGGGTCCTGGGCACACAGGGCGGGCAAATGCCCAACCCAAGCAGGGAGGGCTCTGAGCAGGCAGAGGCTTGCTGATCCAGGGTGGGGGCAGCCGGTGTGAGCGGGTGGCTCACCAGTCCGTAATCTTGCGGATCTTCTGTCCAATCTGCTCACCCCAGTAGGAGATGAGGAAGGTCATCCAGGTCACAGGCTCACCCTGAGGGAGGGCTCAGGTCACCCTGGACTTCTGGTTCCGCCCAGGATAGCCCGGCAGGCCCCTCCAGCTCACCGTCAGCGGGTCCTCCAGCTGCCTGTCGGCCTCTCGGAAGCTGGCGATGAGGAAGCCGCGGCAGGCTCTCCACAGCAGGCGCTCCAGGGCCGCAGCCTTGCGGGGCTCCACGGCACCTGCCACAAAGCTGCCAGCCAGGAATGGAGGCGCTTCCAACCTCCCACCACCCTGGCCCGAAAAGGCAGGAGACCCCAGTGCAGGGCCAGAAGGGTAGAAACCTCCCAGGGCAGGGCCTGGGAGGAGGCAGAGGGCGAGCTGAGCCCCAAGGAGCACAGGGCCAGGCCCGCAGGGGGCCTGACCTGCCTCCACCTGGGGTCAGAGCTGGGGCTGCTGGGAAAGGACAAGAGGTCCTCCCTCACTCACTTGACCCTCAGGTCCTGGTGCGGTCCCTGGCGAGGCGGGAGCAGGGGAGTTCTCTCTGAAGAGGGCCCATCCGTGTGGGCAGCGGCCGGCTAGGAGTGGGAGACACCGTGAACCTGGGCGCATGTGGGGTCTGCACACCTTCCCCGCCAACCCCCCCCAGGCCGCAGCTGACCGGAGGGCCGTGGTTCTGCTGCAGCACGGCCGAGTGGAGCTGCAGCTGGTGCAGCTGGGTCCGCAGGGCCTGGTGGTTGCCCTGTACATCCCGCAGCTCCTGGGCCAGGCGCTCTGTCTCTTCCTGGATGCGCAGTAGGTCACGTGGCGGGGGTGCTGGCAGCCTCCCTTCGGGAGGGGGCAGTGCCAGGCCAGCCCGCCGCACCTGCTCCTCTAGGAAGGCTGAGCACAGAGGGCAGGTTCAGCAGAGGCCACACCCGCTAATATCCACTACTAGCTAAGGACTGGCCACATCTGGAGGATTCCAAGTGCACCCCAAACTCTACTGCCACCTGCTAACTAATTCATCAAGCCTGTGAGCCCCAGAAACAAAACAGCCCAAACCCCTGTCCCCAAAGTTCTGCTCCCTCCCTGGGTGACTCTGTGTTCCTATCTCTTGGCCACTGCCCAGCCCAGGGACAGAGCCTCACTGAGGTCAGCCTGCAGGCCTGATCACTCTAAAGCTGTTGGTCAGACTAACAGGCCATAAAATAAAACCTATTCCATCCTCCCAGTCAGGAGGCAGGGGCTGGACGTTGGCCACAGGCACCTCCTGGAGATTGCCATGGTGGGTCCAGGAAGCCGCTCTGCTTTGAGGAGTCCAGCCCTACACCCTGGCCTCCGTCCACCCGGTCCATCACTTAGGAGTAAGCTCTGTCCATGCCCTTCACCTGCTGAGAACCCTCATGGCTCCCAAAGTCCACAGGACAAAATTCCCACGCTCCCCCAAACCAGCCCTCGCCTGGGCCCTCTGCACAGCCCACCCAGGCCCAGTCCCAGGAGCACCCACAGATGGGGGCCTGCCTGCGCCTCCTTCCTGTCTCTACCTGCCCGCCCAGGGCCACGTCCATAAAGCCAGCCTGGGATGGGCCGGGGCCAACTCACTGAAGGTCTTCTCCAGCTCCTCACAGCGCCGAATGTCCACTGTGAAGCGCCTCTGGAAGGCGCTCACCGACTCATTGAGCTGCGGTTGCCACATGGAAGGGTCAGTGTGTTCAGGGAGAGGCCCAGGGAGGTCCCCCCTGGGCCAAGGCCTCTCTCTCCTCAGGCCTTAGCCACCTTCTTCAGAAAGGGGCTGAGTAGCCCATGAGCCTCCAGATCCCCATGTGCCTGGGGGCCTCAGGTGTGGGCTTCCTGAGGACAAAGCACCTATGGCCAGGGCTTCTGGGATGCATGTGGGACCAGGGACGATTCTGGGACAGGTGGGTCCCCATCTAGGCCTAGATCCCAGCCCACCCCAGCAGCAAGGCCCCAGGATGAAGGCCTTCCCCCGGCCCTGGCCCCACTCACGTCTCTGAACTCCACGAGCCCCAGCTCGCCCAGCTGGCTCACACAGGCGTAGGCAGCAGCCGTGGGCAGGAAGAGCTGGACCAGGACCACCTCCTCACTCCGGAACATGGAGCCCATGGTGCTGTGGGGGGGTGAGGTCAGGGCAAGCCACGAAGGCTCCCAACCCAGCTGGCACCTCCTAAAGCTCTGTCCATGTACTTCAGAGTTGTGACTACTGTCCCCATGTGACCGAAGGGGAAAACTGAAGCCCAGGAAGGGGCAGTTAGGTGCTGAGATCACACAGGAAGTAAGCGCCACAACTGGGCATGAGGCCAGCCCAGCCTCAAGCTCTCTCAGCAAGCCCACCTGCCTCCACCCTGTCCCTTGTACCCACACCAGCACTGGGGTGACACTGGCTCTGCTCACCCCTCTGTTCATGCTCTGTCTGCCCTCACCTGAGTCCTGCCTATCGCTAGCACCCCAGGCAAAGGGCTGCCCCCAGGCTTGCCTTTATTTATCCAAACATCAACTGTGACAAGTGACACACCAGGCCTGGAGGGACCTGTCCTCAGGGATAGCTAGCGCCCTCCCACCTTCCTGTAGTCTGAGCCCGTCGGGTGGGCGGCTCGACTTGTTCTGCGGGGACTCAGCAGGGCCACAGAGACTGGCTGGGAAGGGTGTCTTCAGGGGTGGAGCCGTCCCGAAGCCCCAGGCTGCCTGGCTGTACCCATCGCCCCTGGGGACTCCTGGGGACTCGGGACAGGCTTCCAGGTGTTGAAACCAACAAAAACGAAACTGAAATGGCAGGAAGGGCCTGGCAGCGCCTTGCTCAAACACGGGCAGGGAGAGGGGCAGGGTGGCCTCCAGTTGGCCCTGCAGATAACCTGCTGGAGTCAGGACCCCTCTGCCTGCTGCGCCCACTACTCTCCGGTCCCAGGGTCCCTCAGTTTCCTGAGCTCTCTAGGTAGCAGGGAGACAGACATGGTTGAGGACCACCCTTCACCCCCTGGGGAGACTAGTGTGCTCTGCCTGCTGTGTGGACATGACCTACATGTCCCTGGGCCTGGTTTCCGTAATTCTGAATAGGAAACCACAGGCCCGTTCACAGCCTGGGAAAGGAGGGAACTCTGAGGGCAGGCATCAGGGGCTGCAGAAGGGCAGGTTCCTGAACTGCAAAGGATGGGCAGGAGGGCCTGGCTTTCATCATCCAAGGACATGACTCCGGCCATGGGCAGAGGGCCAGGAACCAGGACTGGGGGCCTTACCCAGGTTGTGACACTGTGTCACACTGTGTGACATTAAGCAAGTCACTTGCCCTCTCTGGACCTCTACTTCCTCTTTGGGACTTGGCCACCCCCACAGATATGAGATGACAAAAATAACCAGAGACCCCCATCTGTCCCCTTCACCCACACCAACTCACACTAATCCCTGATGGTGATGCTGGGGGAGGGGCGATGGAGCCCTGTCTTAAAGGGGGGTCAACTGAAGCCGGGAGAAGCAAGGCCCAACATAACATGACCAGCTGGTGGCCAAGCCAGGGAGGAGCCAGGACCACCAGGGCTGCAGGCTTGGCAGTCCCAGCTCAGAGCGGGGCTGCAGACCTGGCCTCCGCTGGCTAGCCCCGTCCCTGTTCCCCCTGGCCCCTGCCCTAGCCAGGGGAGACCCTGCCAGACCACAGAGCGCCTCCAGCCACCGCGTGGTCTGCAGAGTTCAGAAGCAGCGACTCCTCTCCCAGCCTCTGGCCCCGGACTGCCAACCCTCCCTCCACTGGCGGGCTTGGGCTCTGCCACTTCCTAGTTGGGGGAGCTTTGCTTCCCTCATCTGTAGAATGCATCCCGCCCTCTGAGCAAGGCGCAGCGGGAAAACTCTGAGCGCAGGCCGGCAGGGGCGCCTTGAAAGTTGCTGGGGACCCACACCCATCTTCCTGCCCCTCCTGATCGTCTCTTCTGCTCCGCCTGACGCCGCCGGCGGCCGCCAGCACAGCCTCCTCGACCCAGCTAGGTGGGGCGCCGGGACACCTTTCTGGGACAGGGGCGCGGGTGGCAGGCGGAGCCGCGCCCCACACACCCCTCCGGGGCGGGCACTCACCCTGCGCGCCGCGCCGCTTCGCTCTCTGCAGGGGCTATGCACCCTGCCGCGGTGCGCTTGCGGCTCGCTAGGGCCCAGGGGCGGGGCCCGGGACGCCCCGCCCACGCCCCGCCCACGCCCTTCCGAGTCCGGCGCGGGAGGTTCGGGGACTGTTCAGGCGCGTGGGCCGCTTAATCACGGCGGAGAGTGGAGATAACTGACCAGCGGCGCCGGGAGGCCCGGGAGGCGCCAGCCTAGGGAATGGGATTCCCACGCCCCTCCCACCTGAAGGGCTCGTTGGACCTAAGGCCCTAGGGTCCAGACCCTGGCCCTCCCCAGCACGCAACGACTCATTCACCCTTTCTGCTTCTGACCCCCCAGGATAGGAGGCTGAGCCAGGAGGGCTGTGCCCTTGCGGGGATGGGGTGGCTGCCCAGAGCACAGCAGATTCATTTGTGGCTGGACACATACTGTACAGGGGTGTCCTGTGATCTTGCTTCAAATCATCTGCATGAGAACTGTCAGTTCCAGTGCTTGGAAACTTAGTTGGGACTCACCACCAGGGCTGGACTGTACCCACTGGGGACCAGAGGGAGGACGGACCCTTAGCCCTGGTGATCCTTGAATCACACTCAGTGAGCGAGGGCCTAGAGGGTAGGAGTGTGGGGGAGAAGCCCAGAACTACACCTGGAAACAGTCACCAGCGCGGTCAGCATCCTCAGGAAATTGAGAGACATGTGCTTCGACTCATCAGTGGGATAAGAAGGGCCTTCACTACAACCAACCAGAGTGCCAAGGGCCCAGGTCAATCCTTGGGAGTGCAGAGGAAACCAGAACTCTACCATGGTCACAAAACCATGTTATGGATATACTCCTGAGGCCACCACATACCTCAGATCAGTGAGAACCTGGTTACCTGCTGATGCAGCTGCCCCAGGTCTAATTCAAGGTGCTAATGGTGGCTGGGAAACTAAATAGAAGTGGCCTGCCCCAAATTCTTGGCTGTTGGTGGGGCCCAAGCAGAGCCTGAGTCACTTTTGTATCAGGAGATGACAAAAGCCAGCCTGGGAACTAGGCCAGGTGTTAGTAGGGGATCTGAGCAAAAGGACTCCTGGGAATGGACTGGGGGCTGGGCTTCAGTGCTATAGGTTGTGGGAGACCAACCTTACATGTGACTGAGTCACACTCCCCGGCTGGGTGCTGAGGTGCTCAGTCACAGAAATGTGGCAGAGCTTTCCCCACCCTTCTTGGGTTTGAGGGTCAGTGTCTTGCTACAGCCCCTTGGGTGAAGCTATGCTCACCTGTCCCTTTGTGATATAACCCTTGCCCTGTTTAGGGTAGAATCATCCCTGGAAGTGCCTTGTGTGTGTCCCCTTCTCTTACTGTGTGCTTGGGTGTGGCCTACCCAGGTGTCAGTCAACCTGTTAACAGTAGACAAGCCCCCTGAAACCTGACCCCTTGCCTCATTTGAATAGCTTCTCACTCTCTCTCTTCCTGTGGACCCTTAAGGTCAGAGGAGCCGTCACAGCGACCCCAAAGAAAAAGGTTCTTTGTGTCTCTTGTGTGGTTATTTTGCGCAGCCCCGTCAGCCCAGTTCAACTGGAGTGACCCCTGAGCCCGAGAACAGAAACCGGCAGCAGGTCTTCTCAACGCCTCCAAGTCCAGCGAGGAGACGGCGCACTTGGGCATTTCCCACACCATGGTCCATAAAACACGTCCTTGCTTTCCGAGATACATCTTTGGAGATCAGCATTTTGCAAAAAACATTTTTGCAATTGATGGGGGAGGGGACTCAAGGCCTCTCAGACCCGAGTAAGTCACTGGATATGTGCTCAGTGACCTGAATAGTCACTTCACCTTGTAAGTGCCTCCCTACAATGCTTAGCACCAAGTTCAGGGGCTGCTTTGGCTGGTACATTGGCTCTGGGCCTGTGTATAGCTCAGGGAGCTACCTGCCTTAGTGGGACTGCAAACTGGGAAGTTGTGAGCCAGCAGTCTGTTTGGGGAACTTGGGGAGAAAAGGGGATGTGTTTGGAGGAAGGGCCAGCTCAGAGGCAGCAGGGCCTTGTCATCTGCTCGTGACTATCACCTCAGAGCAGGCTTCCCCTATTCCCAAGAACACCAATTGTGGGGGCAGCAGGGCCAAGGTGACCTTTGGCATTGCTCACCTTGGGGAAGGTATGTAGGTATCAGGGAGGTTGTGGCCTCTGGTGACCAGGAAGAGGGTCTGATGGGCCCATGGAACCATACAGGAAGGCTGGGCCAACCCTGCTGGGCTGATGGAACCCACAGGAAGAATGAAGCTGGTGGACCAGGCCCTCATCTGGCTGGAGGAATCCAGAGACCTTGGGCTGGCAGGGGACAGTTCCACCCTGGACACTGGATGCACGACAGGAGGCAGCTAGGGAGAGCAGGCTCTTTTATTGGGCAGCAGGGCCTGGGGCTGAGCTGGGGGGCTGAGCTGGGTGGGCGGGCACGTCACCGGTAGAGGTAGTCGGCCTGGATGTTGGCGGCGATCTCAGCCTCCCACTTGTCCCCATTGTTGAGCAGCTTCTCCTTGTTGTACAGTAGCTCCTCGTGGGTCTCCGTGGAGAACTCGAAGTTTGGACCCTGTGGTGGGGCAGAGGTCCAGCCAGGTCAGACCCCTCCCAGGACCTCTGCCCAGCTCCCCCACCTGGGGCCCACTTACCTCAACAATGGCGTCCACAGGGCAGGCCTCCTGGCAGAAGCCGCAGTAGATGCACTTGGTCATGTCGATGTCGTAGCGGGTGGTCCGGCGGCTGCCATCAGCCCTGGGCTCAGCCTCGATGGTGATGGCCTGGGGGGAGTGGCCACTGGTCACCGTCACACTGCCAGCCATGTCCTGGCCCCAGGTCCAATCCATGTGGGGCTGGTTCCTATCCTTGGTGTCTACGCAGATGCCTCTGCCCCTTACCACCCCTCCTAAGGGGCAGCCCTCACACCTGCCACACCAGCTTCTGTTTCTCTCAGCTCCTGCCTCAGAAACATCTTGCTCTTTGTTAATTAACTGCCTTATCTCCTGCTTCAGAATGGCCCCCCAGGGCCAGGCTGGAGGCCCCCTTCACTGCAGATTAGCCCTAGGGCCTGGCCCTGTAGAGAGTGCCCAGTGACTACCTGCTGTGTGGCAGCTCTCTGCCTTAGGTCTACTAATCCTCAGCTGAGGCTGAGGGGTTTCTGTGCACCACGTGTGTGCCAGCTGGGAGAAAGAAAGGCGGCCTGGGGCCTCCCCAGCAGGAGGACCCTCAAGGATGCTCAGACCCTCCTGCAGACCTCCAGGAGAGCCGCACTCACTACTCACAGCGGGACCTTTAGCTGTAGCCTCATCTTTCTATGCCTGTAAAAATGGACACATAACCTCTATCTGCTTGCATTATTAACGATTAAATGAGATGATGGAAGGCGTGAGCTCAGTGCATGCCTGTCTGTGACCAGCACTCACTACCCAGAAGCCATGACTGCACTGGGGACTGAACCAAGGGGCACTTGTCACCGAGACACATCCCAAGCTCTTTTTTTGCTTTTTGAGACAGTCTCTCTCTAAACTGCTGAGGTTGGTCTTGAACTTGCTGTCCTCCTGCCTCAGCTTCCCAAGTCTCTGGATGACAGGCGTGGGCTGTAGCCACGCTTGTTGCATGAGGACACTCCTGTGCGCTCCCAGGCAGTGGGTGGAGGAGAAGCATCAAAGCCACAGCTCTCAGCCTGGAGGTCCTGGGAGTGGTCTAGGAGAGACTAGCTAGGATGTGGCCAGGAGCCACCCTGAGCCACAGATATTGGAAGGTGACCGCTGTGTGGACCAAGTGAGGACAGTCTGCTGGGCTCCTGCTGGGCACACCAGGGTCTGAAGCATCTGCATCTCTGTTTCCATCCCAAGAGCCCCTCCTCTAGGGAATCCTCCACCACCCAAAGCCAGAGCTGCCAGGGCCGGCCGCCAGGGACGGGGCCTCTGTCTGTGGGTCCAGCCCAGGGTAGGCACACACACAGAGCTCCTGGAGCTGATGCTACATCTGGGGAAAAGTGGACACCTCAGGCGCCACCCCAATGATCCTAGGCCCAAGCCTCACACTGCTGACCGACCGAGTCAAGCACCACACATGCCACCCAGCCACACAGGCTGAAGGCTGGCCTCTGCTGCCCACGACACTCAGGCAACAAGGCCGTCAGACCCACTCCTGGGGAGGGGGTGCAGGGTCAGGCAGGAAAGGGACTGTCCATCAGGTTGCCTGTCCTCGCTCCAGGGGCAGGGGCTGGGCTCACCTGGGCAGGGCAGACGGCCTCACAGAGCTTGCAGGCGATGCAGCGCTCCTCCCCAGATGGGTAGCGGCGCAGCGCGTGCTCCCCACGGAAGCGCGGGCTCAGCGGGCCCTTCTCAAATGGGTAGTTGATGGTGGCTGGCTCCCGGAACATGTAGCTCAGGGTCATGCCCAGGCCTGTGGGCAGTACAGGCATGTGTGTGGGCCGTCTTCCTCCCCAGCACAGCCTTGCCCGTTCTGTCCTCACCCCACCAGGACCCACCTCGGAAGAGCTCAGTCCACATCAGGGTCCTCGCTGCCCGGTCGGTTATTGACTTCATGTCCATCTCGGGCTCCTGCAGGTTCACATACTCTGCGGGGTGGCAGGCATGGGCCATGACAGGAGGTTCGGGAGTCCAGCTCAGGGAGGTGAGGCCTGGCCTCACTCCTAGGCGTACCATTAGGCTCCCAGGGCCTGGTCATTCCCCACCCTTTCCCTAGCTTCCGCAAGGACCTGGGACGTCAGCCTGGACCTAGGCAGGCCTTACTCACTCCTCCCTGTGCCTAGGTGACCCTTGAGCCCACAAGAACCCTCAAGCAAGGCTTTAAAGAGGAGCACGAGTGGGTGAGAGGCTTGGCCCCCACCTTCATGAGCAATCCCAATGCAGAGGAACAGGCACCCATGACTCACACCACAGGCCCCACTCAGAAGAGCACTGCCACCACTCTCCCCCACCCTGACCCGGCAGGACTGCTCCCAAGAATCTCAGCCCATCTCTATCATCATCGTTTGTTTTTTTCGGTACTGCGGATTGAACCTAGGAGCACTTTACCACTGAGTTACACCCCAACCATTTTTATTTTTATTTTGAGACAGGGTCTCACTAAGTTGCACAGGCTGGCTTCGAACTTGTGATCCTCCTGCCTCAGCCTCCTAGGATTGCTGGGATGACAGGTGTGCACTACCACGCCCAGCGTCATCCTCGGTTTTTGAGGGGAAACTGAAGCTCAGGAAGGGCCCAGGCACAGCCAGGACCACAATGGTGTCCTCCCTGGCCTCTGGCAGGGCCTCCATCAGGAAACCTAAGCTGGAGGCCGCCCCACTACTCACTGTAGGTTGCTGCCACTGTGCTGCTGTGAAGGCTCCGGCCACTGGGATGTCCTACAAGGAAGGGGTGATGATGTGCTGTGATCTTAGGACAGAAGGGGCTTTCCCACCCCCAGGGAAGGCTCCCTTGGTCCCACCTGTGCGCGCAAACTGGGCCAGGGCCCGCAGCAGCGTAGGCATGGTCAGGCAGCGCATCTGAGGGCGTAAAATGGAAGGAAAGTGCAAGATTGAAAACTGACCTTCCAGGACCCCTGGCACTTGCCCCAGGGCCAGTGGTGCCATCCTATGCCCTCACACTCCATTCCCACGATGGCCATCTTGTTCCCAGGCACATGTCTTCCAGCCCTCCAACCTGATGCAGCTCGGCTAGGCTAAAGCTCTGGGAATTCTATGGGCCCTAAGTTCCTTCTACATCTCTCCCGGCCCTGATTTGTCCTCACAAAATAACAAGGCCAACCACCACCAGCCTGCACTGCAAGTTAACTCTGCCCCAGGTTCTACGTGAGGACACTCAGGAACTGTCAGTTGTCCTTGTGAAGTGACTCCCCCAGTCCCACAACAGGGGAGCTTCAGGGCTGGAAGCCACCTCCCGCTGGAAACCCTCTCCCAGCTCCCCGCTCCCAGGCCCTTCTAGAGCTGTCCCCCAGCATACTGAGTGACCTAAGGTAGGTGATGCCACCTGGTCTCTGACTTCTGACCTGCAAATTAGGGGGTCATGAGATTTATATATTGGGACTCATACACCCCAAAGGGTGAGTCCAGAGCCTGGCACTTCGCCAGAGCCCAAAAGGGACCCTCCAGGCCTATGACCTCTAGCGGGCCCACTCTTTTGACCAATGGCTACAGTCCCAGGCACCCAACCCACCACCTTCTCCGACCTTCCCCATGACCTCTGACCCCAAGGACGCACGCAGGAAGACGCGGCCAGGCAGCGCATGCGCCGCGAGAATGCCAGCTTCCCGGTCGGCCCGCGACACGTGAAGGGCGCAGAGGCCACGGGTCCTAAAGGGCCTAGATGAAGCGTGGGCACAGAGTTTGCGGGACTGACGGAGACACCACACTCGCCCCCGACGCTGCGCTGCCCAGCCTGGCCTTCACGGCCGAGCCCCGGGCACCCACCTCGAAGCGCTGCCTCTCCTTCCGTAGCCGAGCAGGCTGGTCAGCGAGAGGCGGAGCCTATCCCTGGGACATAGCCATTGGGTCGGCTGGTTTTGCCTTTTCCGCGGTGACCTCCGTGCTGTGCCCTTATTGGCCAGTGGTTCTGCCGAAGGAGGCGGGATCTAGAAGCATCTTTCCTCTGATTGGCTGCGCAAAAGCAGGCGTGTGAAGTTGGGAAGGGCGCCGCCATGTTGGTTCGGAAAGACCAATACCCGAGGACCTCCGAGTGCTGGAGGCGGGACGTCCGGGGCGTGGCTTAGGGAGAGGTGCGGGAGTGCTGTAGGCGGGGGAGCCGGAGGGCTAGGTGACGCCACTGTCACCGTGGCGGCGACCCCGGGCGCAGACGCTGGACTCGTGCGACTTCATCTAGTTCTCAGAGCTCAGTCTGGAGAAGCGTTACTATTACTTGTCAGATGAGGAAGCGAGGCGGGGACGTGTCAGGCCGCCGAGGAGCGGCGTGCGGTCTGCACCTGGACCGGTGGGCCTCGGGACCCGCCTCTCATCGTCTGCTTCCTCCTGTGCGCTCCGCTGTAGAGGGACCCTCGGGGGCTGCGGGCACTGAGTCGCCCCTGGGTCAGTCTTCGAGTGTGTTGGGATGGTGGACAGGGAAGGCTTCCTGGAGGAGGCGGTGCCTGAGCTGACATTAGGGTGGGTCAGGCCGGGAAGGACAGAGAAAGCTTGTCCAGCGCGGGTCCGAGGGTGGCGGCCTGGTGACTGCAGTCCTGGGAGAGAGGAGCAGAACGAGAGCCTTCTGGGGACTGAAGCAGATGAGGGACTTGTCAGCTACAGGTTGCCACTGAGGGGTCTCTGGCCGAGTGGTGGCATGGTCCTGCTTAATTTTGGAAGATTGGTGGGTAGCGTGGGGAGAGGAGCTAGGCCAGAGGGAGAAGTGAGGTGATAGTGTCCTGCTCGAGGCCCGACCTGGTGTTGTGATTTGTGTATGAGTTGGAGCAATCCCGGGGTGTTACAGGTTCACCAGGTTCAAAGCTGTGACCTGGGGGAGGAGATAGGGCGTCAGGCAGGAGCCACAGGGTTTTGGCCCTGGTGGCAGATGAGTAAATGGAGCCCCAAGGATGAGCAGGATGGTGAGGAGTTGGGGTTGGACATGCTCACCGGGAGGCAGCAGAGCTTCTGAGAGGCTGCTGAAGCAAAGGGCAGTGCTCCTGCAGGAATCTCAGCCCTGCCTGGAGGGAGAGGAGAGGGAGGCAGCCCCCTGTCCCTCACCCACTCTGGCCCTGCACCCCAAGATTAAAAGGACACCTGGAGCTCATGGTCAGCAACTCGGGATTTAATCTTTGTAACAATCTTCAAAGGTGTCAATTAATCATCTCCACCAGCACTGCAGGTGGGGACACTGAGGCTCACAGAAGACAGTGATGACCTGCTCACACAGCTTCCGTGCTGTGGCCTGGACCCCATGCCAGGGCTCCTCTGCTGCACCCTCTGCAGGAAGGCAAGTGGCTCAGAGGTGCCACATTGGCTCTCTTCTTCCGGGACATGATGGATGACATGGGGGGTAGGGGCAGGTCTCTGCACTGTTCCTGTGCTCCCGTCCTCAGCCTGTCCTCATTATGGGGCAGCTAAGGGTCAGAAAAGGAAATCCCCCCGGAGGGTGAGGCTGAGCAAGCTGCTCTGTCACCTGGGCGTCTCCTTGGGCCCTAGCCCACATCTCTGGCTGCTTCATGAGGGGAGGGAGGCTGGTGCCCCAGCACCTGCGGGCTCAGAGCAGTGTACAGCTGCATCTGCGCTCCTCCATGGCCACCAATAGCACCCTCAGATTGCGTGGTGAGTAGGGAGGGTAGCGGAGGTCGTTGATCTTCTCCATACCCGGGCTTCGGAGCAGGCAGGCACGATGGTGGGAGAAGGTGTCAAAGGAGAACTTGCCATGGTACCTGCCCATCCCGCTGGCACCTGTAGAGTGGCATAGAGCACAGGTCAGGCCCTCAGTGGCCCGCTGCGGGGATATCAGGCAGACCTGGGCTCTGATCCTCTGAGCCTTAATTTCCCCATCTGTTAAGTGGGCTGATCAGGGTTGGGCCCCAAGCCTTGCATTATAACCAGGACAGTAAGTGCTGGGGACACCAGGTATTGGGGCAAGCTAGGCACACAGTGCTCAAGGGTGCCTATTTTATAGCCACACTGCCCAGGGTTGACGCTCGGCTCTACCATGAATAGCTGTGTGTCACCTTGGGCAGGTGACTTTTAACTCAGGTTCATCCTCTGGGACTATGGAACCACCTCAAGGGTTGTGGCAAGAACTAAGCCAGAAGCCAGTCGTGGTGGCGCACGCCTCTAATCCCAGTGGCTCAGGAGGTTGAGACAGGAGAATTGCGAGTTCAAAGCCAGCTTCAGCTAGGGCTGGGGTTGGGGCTCAGTGGCAGAGTGCTTGCCTCACACATGTGAGGCACTGGGTTCCATCCTTAGCACCACATAAAAACAAATAAACAAAATAAAGATATTTTAAAAAATCAGTCGAGGTGCTAAGCAACTCAGTAAAACCCTGCCTCTAATTAAATAAATAAGTAAATATAGGGGCCTGGGATTGTGGCTCAGCAGTAGAGCACTCGCCTAGCACATGTGAGGCCCTGGGTTCAGTCCTCAGCACCACATAAAAATAAATAAAGGTATTAATCTATATCTGTCTATCTATATAAATATAAATAGGGCTGGGGATGTGGCTCAGTGGTCAGGTGCCCCTGAGTTCAATCCCGAGTACCAAAAAAGGAAGAAAAAAAGAACCAAGCAAGTGTTCAGAGCTGCGAACGTGGTAAGCTCTGTGTTGTTGGTTTGCATCAGGGTCTAGGAAGGGAGGCAGACAAGGACCAGGCGAGAGAAGTCTGGGGCCATGGCCTGGGTGGAGCTGGGGCATCCTGGAGTGAGCGGGCCGAGGGGTAGGGCACTCACCAGGTGAAGAGGGAAGGTGGGCAGGAGGAGCACTGGTGTGGGGTGACAGAACCCTGGGGGCCGGTGGCCTGTTAGGGCCAAGCTCAGTGGCTGAAGCAGCAGGCAGGAAGCTGGGGGAGGAGGCTAGAGTGGGACCCCTGGTCTGGCCTCAGAATGCTGGGAGTCAGGCCTGGCTTGATCTGGGGCCTCAGGGTGGCAGCTGGATCAGATATGCCTGCAGGCCAACCCCCACTCCTCCAGGGGCAGAGAAAGTAGGATGAGGAGTGGGACTGGCAGTGACCTTGGTAGGAGCAGAGGCTCCAGGTTGGAGGAAGGGGGGATCCAGAGCCAGGGTCTCCGTGTGCCCACCTCAGTGTGGCCTGCACTGCCAGGTGGCATTGCCTCAGCCTGCTGTGTGCTGCGGTGGCCCTAGCCACCCTCCAGGAAGGGTCCAGGTAGTACTGAGGTTCAGCTCCAGGCCTTGCTGCTGCTCATTCTAGAGCTTACTGTGCAGGACCTTGACTGCCTCCTTGGCCTCTACCCTTTCACTGAGGAAGTGGGCCAGAGAGGGGAAGTGGCTGCTCCAGGTCACACAAGCTGACAAGCTTTCCGGGGCCAGCCCTGAGGTTTCCTAGTCTGGAGGCCAGGGCTTTGCAGCTGTGATGGAGCTGAGGGCAGGGGGCTGGCAACAGATGCCAGGGCTGGCCTGTGGGCTGCGGGAGGGTGAAGGAGCACAGGCAGCCAGGCACGGAGCGTAGAGCCCCTAGGGCAGTGCCCGTGGACAGACAGCAGACCCCAAGCCGTGCTGTTGGGAGAAAGGTAGTTGTAGCACAACAGACAGGTGGCCATGGCTGTGCACCTGTGGGCCCACCTATGTGCGTTAAGTGCAGGCAGGTCTGGAAGGTCCCACTCCAAACCGGGGAGAGCAGGATGGTCAGTGCAGGGGGCCTCCATGTCGCCTTCCATGTGAGGTTGGGCTCAAGCGGTTTGTGGCAAGAAATTCGTCAGGTAGCACTGCTGCCACACACTGGGGACGGCAAGAGGGCAGGGCTCCGCGGGCACCTACCCACTCCTCCGAAAGGCAGGCTGGCCAGGGTCATGTGCATGAAGCCGTCATTCCCGCAGAAGCCCCCGCTGCTGGTCTGGGCCAGCACCCGCTGGACCACCTGGGAGAGAGCAGAGTGTTCGAGGCTGAACCTGGCGGCTCTGGCCTTGCTGCAGAGGGTCCAGGGCCGTGGCATCCGCCCCTCACAGAGCCGCTGAGTGCTGGCGCGTGGTCTGTGCAGCGTGCTGGGACACAGGCTCTCAAGCCCAAGGGGGAGGCAGGAGACAGTGTCACCTGGGGACGGGTAAAGTGTCATGGCAGTGGTGCGGTGCCACGTAGTCAGGGAGGTGTCCCAGGAGGGACCTGGTGTGCCTGCTCAGTCTCATGGGGACACACGAGGACCTGACCCTGCGGTTCCATCTGTCCCTGGCTGACTCAACCAAGACCTTCCTTTTCAGTCTAGGTTTATCTGAAGAAGGAAATGGGGAAAACAGCCGACTCTAAATAGTTGCTGTGAGGTCACTTCACTGTGGCTCCAATCCTTGTGGCCCTGGTGACCAGCCTTAACAGCAAACAGCCAGGTGGACCGGTGCTGGCCGTCAGGGAGGTGGGGGGCCAGATGACCCTGATGCCAAAAACCCAGGTCCGGTTTCCTAAAGGTCAAGGATCCTGATAAACAGGGTCCTTGGAGGAATGGCTGGTTCTGGAGTTGGGTCAGGAAGGTGCAAGGTGACCAAAGTTTGGCCATGTCATAGGACACAGGGGCCTCCAAGCCTGTGACACGGCCTGTAGCGCAAAGAATCAAGTAAGCATATCCCTTCTACATAAATCATTGAAGACACAAATAACATGCAGATGATCTAACACTGCCCACAGAGCGCCCCCCACACTGCCTCCGTGGCCGAGGGCCAGACTTGGAGCCTGGCTCCAGTTCATGGTGGGGCCCCGGCAGGTGCAGCCTCACCCAGGAGCTGAGGTTTGCCCTGCTGGCCAGCTGAGGTCTCGCCACACCCAGCACAGCCTTGCTCCCCACAGCCCAGCACCCCTAATGAAGTCCTGGGAAAAACCAGGCACCCTGAGGCTGGGGACAAATAAAGCTGCTGGCCTGCGCTGAGAGGCTTAGCTAGTGCATCGTTAGCTCCTGGAGGAGAAAGGACCTTCATGGAAACTGGTGAAGTCCCCAGGAAGCCCGAGTGTAGTTCCTGGAGATGAACCATGGCAGTTTCTTATGCACCGAGAACTCTACTGTGCCTGAAGCTCTTCTGTAAGACCAAAGTTATTTCCATATAAAAAGTGTACTTAAAAAACCATTGTTCAGGCAGGAGGAGAATCTCAGGAGGGCTGGGTGAGGGGTGTGGGAGGGTGGTGGGAACTGTTGCCGGTGTCCTAGGCTGGGGACACCACCCCTGTGCCCTGGGGACTCTCAGGCTGCTCCGGGGGCCTAAGCAGGGCACATTGTGGGAACTGCATGTGCTTGTCCTATCCACACCCCAGGTGGCCCCCTCCTGTGTGCCTCCAGAGCTAGGCACGGTGGCCACCAGGTGCAGGTGTATGGGGAAAATTGACTTGGGGACTCTGGACCCTGGAGAAGATCCCAGGGACATACTCCTGGGAAGTAGGACAGGAACAAAGCCAAGAGCCACCAGCCCTGAAGTCCTGTGTGACTGCCCCACAAAGGCTGTGTCCCTTCTGCTGCCGCACTCCCCTGTCCTGCCGGGCCGCACCTGGGAGCTGTTGGAGAAGGCGTACAGGGCCAGGGGCTTCTCCCGCCGGTTGATGAAGTCGATGGCTTCATCCAGGCTCCTCACGGTCACCAGGGGCAGGATGGGCCCAAAGATCTCCTCCTGCATCACGGGCTCCGTCTCCTGCACGTCCACCAGCACAGTGGGCGCTGCGGGCGGGCACGGCGACAGTCAGCCCAGGGCCACAGCAGGGACACCCCAGGGGAGGGGTTTCGGCAGGGCCGGGACCCAGGATGCAGGCTGGGGACCCCCGGCCTGACCTCCCAGCTCTCCAGGCTCTGAGGACCTGGGTCCTGGCCCCTCGGGACCCAGATGGCAGGGCAGACGGCAGGACGGGAGCTTACACCACCCTCCGGACCCTGGAACTGGGGTCCCGCTCAGTGGATCAGAGTTTGGGGTGAGGAGACAGGCTCCGGGCCGTGGTGACGTGGGGCCTTCGTGTTCTGGAACCAGGCACCGGGCCGGGGACCCAGGCCTGGCCAGCAGGGAGCGGGCCGGCTTTCAGGCGAGGCCCCTGCAGCCAGGAAGGCCCTCGGCCCAGGGGCTGCGGCAGGGGAGAGGGGACTCACCGATGTAGAGCTCGCCCTCGTCACTCTGGCCACCGATGGCCACCCGGCCACAGCCCAGCAGTCCCTGGAGCCGCTTGAAATGCTTCTGGCTGATGATGCGGCCCAGGTTGGGGGAGCTCTGGGGGTCGTCGCCATAGAAACGGGTGATGGCGCTCTGCAGGGCCGGCAGCAGGCGCTCGCGCGTCTCGGGGCTGCACAGGACGTAATCCGGGGCCACGCAGGTCTGGCCGGCGTTGAAGTACCGGAACCAGGTGACGCGGTTGGCCACGGTCTGGGGGTCACAGTCGTCGTCCACGTAGCACGGGTTCTTGCCCCCCAGCTCCAGGGTGACGGGGGTCAGGTGCTTGGCAGCGGCGGCCATGACGGTCTTGCCCACACGGGGGCTCCCTGGGCATGGAAGCAATCACTCTGATTGAGCGGACAGCCTTGGCCCTGGGGCCAGGCTCCTGGCTCCTTGCCTGGCCTCCTTACCACTCCGCCACCCTGCAGGCCAGGGCCCTGCTCTCTCCCCAGACCTGCCCCAGCAGTGCAGATGCTCTGGGGAGGCGCCGAGCTGCAGCCCACCCTGTGGGCCACTCTTCCTAAAATGCTAGCTGTTCCCCTCCCAGTGCTCCTTCTCCTCTAGAGCCTTGGTGGCCTCTTACCAGCTCTCAGCCTGCCTGTCCCCTCTCTGTCCCCAACTCCCTTCCTGAGTTCCTGGATCTAGAGGGCACCTCACCAGGCCTGTGGCTCCTGCTCATCTCCTGCCTTGGCTCAGATGCCACCTGTCACCCCTGGAGCCTCCCGCACTGGCCTGGCCTGCAGCTCCACGCCTCTTGGCCCCTGCTCTCTTCTCTCCCCTTAACGCAGAACTCCAAAGGGCTTGTCCTTCCAGCCCCTCTGCACCCCGAGGCCCACGTGGTGTCTGGCACTTGGTCGGTGGGCTCAGCAAACCTCCCTGACCAGGGCAGCAGGAGAGAACGGAGCTCCAGGGCCAAGTCTGGGAAGGACTTCGTCTGTCCTTCCTTCACCCTCAGGACAGACCTATGACTTAGAGATGACTCAGCTTTGCAGATGAGAAAACAGGCCTGGAGAGCTTGGGGTGCAGCAGAGGTCCCCATTGTCTGCAGCCTCTGTGCAGGCCACCTTGAGGACTGCGCCTAGAACAGCCTCTGGGGTCTCCCTGCCTCTATACCCTGGTCCTGGGCGCTGGCCTCTCACCCGCCAGAGCTGCAGGGTGGGTGGAGGGGCAGCTCCTCCCTCGCATGGGGACTACAGGAGCTGCCACCAGACCCTCTTGCTCTGTTAGCCTCCCTGTGGCCAGGTGGGACAGGCACTGCTTTTCCTGAGCTTGACGCAGGGTCCACAGGGGAGAAGGGCAAGGCTGAGGTCAGAGGTGAGCTCAGCCCTGGGAGTGCTGCCCCCTGCCTCTGTCCTTGTGTCTCCTCCACAAGTCCCATCCTGGTGACGAAGCCAGGAGGTGTGGGGACTAGTGTGACGGCAGGGGAACCCTGGGGTCAGCTCTCACCAAGGGCTTGGGTGCACATCCTGACCTGGCCAGGGCAGAGTGACCCTGGGCAGGCCCTTGGTCACCTGGACCCGGGCCTCATCTGTCTAGCCTGCAGCAGGGCCACTGTCCCTGGGGTGGGAGGCCTGGCACAGCTGGAGCTAGCAAGGCCAGAGGCTTGATTCAGGAGCCTGGTTCGCAGAGGTGGGTTGTGGACCCACACGGAACTCCATGCCATTTTGAGTGGTGCTGAGGGGCCAGGTCCTGCTCCCAGCCTGGCTGAGGTCAGCCCCTGTGCACCCACCCAGCGCCTGCCCATTCGGGGCTGGGTCACCGGTGGCGGTGGCCTGCTCTTGGAGTTCAGGGATGGGACCCCAGGGCCTCCCTCCTCACCTGTGAAGAAGATGTAGTCGAACCTGTGCTCCAGCAGCCGCGCGGTCTCCGCGGGCCCGCCCAGGGCCACAGCCAAGCAGCTCTGCGCCACAGGTGGGGGTCCCAGCTTCAGCGCCCGGGGGGACCTGTCCTGCCCACCCCCAGCCCCCTGGCCTGACCCAGCGTCGCCAAGGCTCTAGGAGGCTGGGTAGGTTGGGGTCCCCAGGGGACGGGGCCCAACAGGTATGGGGTTGAGGGTGTGGGGCCGGGCTGGGACTCCCAGGGACAGGTGCCCTGGCTGCTGCACAGAGGGAAGTTGGTGGGGGCACTTGGCCAAGGTCACACAACTTGGGAGAGGTAGCACTGAGGTTGGGACTTGGGTCCTCTGACGCCGGGGGCTGCCTGTCCCTGTCACCTGGTCCAGGTAGCGGGGCAGCACCTCGGCCAGCACCTTCTCAACGCTCTTGCTGATCTCGGAGGGCTTCAGCACCACACAGTTCCCTGCAGGCGGGAGAGGAGGGGCGGGGGGTGGACGCCCAGCCCACAGCCCTGCAGGCAGGTGCTGGCCCCGCCCACTGTCAGACGGAGACACTGGCTGAGGGGACAAGACCCATCTGAGGCCACACAGCCCTGGACAGTGGGCCGGTGGAAGCACCTGGTCTGGCCCCGGGGGCCCTGAGACCTGGGGGCTGTAGGAAGGCGGAGGCTCTCTCCGCTCTCACCTGCCGCGATGGCCCCCACCAGGGGCACCAGCGTCAGGTTCAGCGGGTAGTTCCAGGGCGCGACGATGAGCACCAGGCCGAAGGGCTCCTTGCGGATGAAGGCCGAGTCCAGCTGTGTGGCCTGGGTGGGGGTGGACAGTGAGTGCCCGAGAGGCCACCCCATGGGAGCAAGTACTCCTGAAGCCCGCCTGCCCGCCCCGACCCCGCCTCTCACCAGGTTCTTGGACACCTTCTCGTCCTTCATCCAGGTCTGCAGGTTCCTGAGGGCCAGGTCGACCTCGCTCTGGCTGATGGCGATCTCAGACACCTCTGCCTCAAAGTTGGACTGCGGGAAAGCCAAGATCGGGTGGGCTGGGGGTCAGCGGGTGGCTGGATGGGGGACGGCCCAGAACCTGCTGCTGTGGCACCTCTGGGCTCACTCCACGCTCCGTGCCCTTCCCGGGAACAGGCGCTGTTCCTGTGCCAAGTTGGAGCAGCGACCAAAACAGATGGGCAACCACCCTGGGGTCCCATGTAGGGGACAGTGACTGTGACCACGAGATCATCAATGGCCGTGTTAAGTCTTGACGTGTGCAGGACTGGGTGTGAGTGTGCGCGACGTGTGCTGTTTATACAGTGGTCAGTACAGGTCTCCGGGAAGAGGAGCCATTGAGCAGTGACCTGAAGACAAGGAGGTGGGGCCTGCATGCCTAGGGGTGGCACTTCTGGACAGGAGTCCCAGTGGGGACAGGGCCCTGCCTGGCGGAGGTGATGGCCAGGTGACAGGAGACGCCGCTGAGCAGAGGGGGCAGGATCCGACTTGGGCCTAACAGGCCGCATACAGCTGTCTGCAGGGTGGACATCCATCTGTACAGCGCAGGGCACAGCCCCCTCCCTGGCAAATCTCTGTTCCCACAGCCCAGGGACAGGGACCACGGTCAGGTTTCTAGGGCAGGAGGGAGGAGACAAAAATCGATAGAGCTGGGTCTGGTGGCCACGCCTGTCATTCCAGTAGCTCGGGAGGCTGAGACAGGAAGATCTCAAGTTCAAAGCCAGCCTCAGCAACGGCAAGGTGCTAAGCAGCTCAGTGAGACGCTGTCTCTAAGTAAAATACAAAACAGGGCTGGGAAGGGGCTCAGTGGGCGAGACGTTGTCCTGATCTCTGCCAGCTGGTGTGCCCTATCCCCACCCCCAGGTGAGACACGGCCAGTGGAGTCACTGCCAGCTACCGGAGGCCATGGCCAGAGGACTGCAGGACCAGCTCCCTGCGTCAGAGCAGAGGTGATGGGACACAGGGTGCCGGTGGTCAGGACCAGAGGCAGGAATCGTCCACTCGGGGTCACTCAGCAAGCCTGCAGCAAGGCCAGGGCCAGCGCTGGGCCCAGGAGGAGGGGACGGCCTCAGAGGACAAGGCCGTGTCCCCTCGTGCCCCCCGTGGCTGCCGGGCTGCAGCGAGCCTTCAGCCACACTGTGTCCATAGCTGGTTACGCTGCCGGGACCCAGGCAGCCTGGGTCTGCTGAGCTCCGTGACTCTGGAGAGTGGGCCACCTGGAGCCGGCTTGGGCCCTGGCTGTGTCTTCGGGCAAGAACGTGTCCCTCCTGAGCCTTCTCTAGGGGTAGCTGGGAGTGACGCACCTCCAAGAGCCGCTGGGTGCGTGGCAGGACGCAGCTCTGGGGACACTGCCTGCTGGGGGGGACGGCCGGGGAGGGGTCAGGTTGGGTTTCCTGGGCTCCTGGAGTCGGAGCTGAAGTGGCAAAGGGACCAGATAGCCCGGTTGGTCAGGTCAGGTCTCGGGTGGCAGGAGACTCGCTCCCCAGGGAGTCCAACAGGCTGGGGGAGGCGACAGCTGGGGATGTCCTGCCCAGAAAAGGGTTCTGGGGCAGCCCGCTGGACAGCTGTCCTGGGCAGGGGTGCGGTCGAGGGGTGGGGCCTTGCCAGGTGCGTGTTTCTGGGGCCTCCACGGTGGTGGCTGCTGCAGGATGGGGAGGGTCTGAGCCTGTGGGCCTCCCGGGTTCACACAGAGCCTGTGATGCCCGCTGTACCCAGAGTGAGGCCAAAGTCCTCCGGGGCTGACTAGGCCCAACCCACTGGGTCCCACCTCCCAGGCCTCACCTTCCACATCTCTCTCTCCCACTCCCTCCAGCCACACTGGTCTCTTTGTAGCTCCTCAATTACACCAAGTCCTCCTGCCTCAGGACCTTTGCATGTGCTACACAGGTGGCCACCCCCAATGTCCAGGGGCTCTTTCTTTCCCTCTCCTCTGTGTATCTGCTCTAATGCCCCCCTCTCAGAGACACCTTCCCTGCCACTCCCTGTATAAACCAGCACCTGCTCCTGGTCCCCTCCGCCCTTTCTCTGGGGTGTCTCCATGACACTCATTATCACTCAGCCCACTGGGCCACCTCTGTTCTGTTGTATTGTCCCCCACCAGAGGGTCAGCTCTGTGGACTGGGGGCCTTGGCCCTGTTCGGGTGCCCAGAGCCTCACCAGCACACAGTAGCTGCAGACTGAGCGGAGGACCCGGGGCTGGGTGAAGGCAGGAGGCAGGTCCTGGCCCAGGCAGGAGCTGGGCTCTGGTGGCTCTTGGTCCCTCTGTCCCAGCTGTGCTGCCTGACCCCTCCCTGCAGGGCACCCCCTCCCCCACCCCGCCACCTTGCCCAGGTCCTGGGCCAGCGCGTCCAGCAGCAGCTGCCTGTTGTCCTTCAGGAAGCGGCCCAGGCCCTGGAGCTGCGCCGCCCGGAACTCTGCCGGCCGAGTCCGCCCCGAGCCGAAGGCCTCCCGCAGCCTCCGCAGCGTGTCCTCGAGGGGGTCCATCCTGTGGACAGGGCAGGAGAAGTGGGTGCTCCACCTCCAGGGCGTCCTGCGGCTGCCCCTCAGTTACCCCACAGGCCAGCCGCGGCCTTCAAGTCCCTGCCCTGCCATGGGCGCACTCAGACGCGCCAGGCCTGGTAACCACTCCCTTTGCCAGGGGAGCGCGGGGTGTCACGGGAGACAGTGTGGCTTGGGGACAGCTGCTCCTGGCCCCCAGGCCTGGGCAGGCAGGCTGAGGTCACCCTACTTCCTGCCACATAGGGTGGCCCTGAGTCCCGGTCCTACCCTGCTTGGGAGCCCTCCTGGAGGGAGGCTGGCCATCACCTGGCCTGGCCGAGTGGACAGGAGTATGATGAATGGAGGGACAGTTTGCCATCTGCCACCACGGCCACCTCGTGGAATGTGCTGGACACAGAGATCCCTGTCCCCTCTGTCCCAGCCTGGGAGCCAGGATGGGTGTGGCAGCTCAAGGCCTGGGTGACCTGGGCAGTGGCCCCCTCTCCCTGCACCTCAGTTGCCCTGGCACAAGGGGGAAGGCCCTGCTGCCCCCTCCAATCCGGGCAAGGGACACTCATGGCTCCATGCTGTCACCAGCCAGGGCAGGGCCCCACGTCCCCCTGGGCCCCACCTGTTCCCTTGAGGCTCGTCTGATGAGTGCTGTGACCACCCACTCCTCAGCCTGGTGCCTGCCTCCCTCGGGTCTCAGCTGATGCCTCCTCCAGGCAGCCGGCCCTGACTTCTCCCCACCCTCCCCTGTAGCTGCCCCTTGCCTGTCTCCCGCTGTTCTGGGTGGTGCTGTGAGATAAATGTCCAGTGACTCTCGGTCCACCCCTGCAGTCTCCTCCCCTGCCTGTCTGCTGCCTCCCGAGGGCCTGGACGGCAGCCCCTGCTGGCCTACTTGACCCTTCCTTTGGGTCTCCGTGCCCAGCCTCCCCGCCTGCTGGGCATAGAGCAGCACGTGCCAGCTCATAGGTGCCTGCCGGCCTCCGGAGCTGGGCTCCTGGCTGGGCCTCGTAAGCTGGGACGCCTGGGCAGGCCCTCGCCCTCCCTGCCTCGGTCTCCTTGTCCAAAGCACAGGGCGAAGCTAGCCCTGGCCCCTCTGCGTCACGTGGCAGGACATGGCCTAAAGCGCTGGCCGTTGTGCCCTGAGCTCAGGGCACAGGATCACCTGGCTGTTTCTCTAAGAGGTCTACAAATATTGACTCCTCTCCCGTCACCTCTCATCCCCACCGCGGGCGCGGGTACAAGCGCACCGCCCCCTGCCTTTCATCAGGGCCTCTCAGCGCCCACAGAAATGTGAAGCTCGCAGCACCCACAGGGGATGTGGGCAGGAGCTCGGTGGGGGACGGGTCCAGTGGAACATTCCAGCCGCCGCTCCCAGCAACAGTGAGGCTGGCTGGCATGGGCAGCAGGCTACGGCCCTGAGCTGCCCGTGCCCCTGTGGCTGGTCACTCTGGGCTGAGGCCCCCAGCAAGTGGCCCTGAGGGTGGGAGCTGGGCAGGACCCAGGCAAGCAGAGGAGCCGGGCCGTCCTCTGCCCAGGGTCCTGGGCTGTGACCCCTCAGGGGAGCCACGCAGCCACTGTGGACACAGGAGATCCCTGCGGCAGTCACGGGGCTGGGCCGGGAGCGTGGTCCCCCTTCGTGGGTCCATCTCAGGTCCATCTCACACTGAGTCTGTCCGGCTGTCTGCCCTGACTCGCTGAAACATGCCAGCAGCTGGGGGCCGTTAGTCACCCCATCGAAAGAAATGGAGACCAGGACACAGCAGGCACGGGGTCCCCCAAGGCCACCCACCTTCTTAGGCTGGAAACCCAGGTCCACCCCTGGCTCAGCACAGTTCCAGTGCCCTGCGAGGGGGCAGCCGAAGTCCTGGGGAGGGGACCTGGGGCCAGGCCTGTCAGCGAGGCACCCTGTGAGGACAGGAGTGGCGCTCTTCCCGTGCTGTCCCCTCACCTGCCCTCGGTCCCGTCGGTGCCCACTGCGCCCGGCAGGCCCAAGTCCCTTCCTGCCTCCGCGGGCCGGGCCAGGGAGGTCCAGGGGCTGCAGGCCTGGAGGTCTCTGTGAAGGGGGTGGGCAGGGCTTCCTAGAGCTTTTGAGGGTGAAAAGAACACTGGCCTGTGTCCCCGGGAAGGTCCGGCCACTTCCCTCCAGGCGGATGACCCGGGGATCCTTCAGGCTCCGGGCACAGGTGGGCCTGCCCTGCTGCGGCGCCGGCCAGAGGAATGGGGTGGCTGGGTGCTGGCTCCTCCCCTCACGGAGCCCCTAGCTGGGCCGGCCTCGGGTCCTGCCCTGCCCGTCGGCAGCCTGGGGCTGGATGCTCCTCCGGCTGCAGGCCCTGTCCCTACTCAGGCCTTCGGGCTTTCTGTTGTTGGCTTGTGTTGTGCCGGGATCCAACCCAGGGCCTCCTACCTTCTGGGCCAGTGCTGTCACTGAGCCGCTCGCCTCTCGGCCCGTGGCATGGCCTGGGGGTCCAGCGACCTGGCTCCCAACTCCCAGCAGCTCTGCTTATTTGCCGGGGGACCCAGGGCGAGTCTCACTTTTCCTGTCTGTGAAATGGCCCGGCCTGCCCAGGAGGTGGCTGTCACCTGAGTAGACTCTTGTCCCCTCCGGGGTCATAAAGTGTGTTCCCTCTTGGGGCAGCTGGGCACAGGGCGGGGTCCCTTGGCCTCACAGGGCGTCCAGTACCCAGGAGGAGGAGGGTGGCCCATTCCCACAGACTGAGGTTGGCTGCTGGCGGCTGGGCCCAGCGCTCCGGCCTCTCCCGGGCCCTCCTTCTCCCCCTCCTTGTCCCTCCACCCTGTCTCTTCCTTCCCCTTTCTCCCCTGGCCAGCCATGGAGCCGAGGACACAGTGAGCCTGTGTGTCCCCAGCAGCCTGCCTGCCTGGCAGCCGGCAGCCCCCGGGTCGAGGCCCTGGCTGATGGGTGCAGCCCCAGCTGCGCGGGATACAGTACCTGAAGCCCCGCCAAGCTGCCCTTCCTGCTGGCTGTCCCCGCTCGCCTGGAGCTCCCCTGCCTTATGAAAGGTCCAGGACGGCCGGCCTCCCGGGCGGGGCACCCTTGGCCTGGGGCCTGACTTTGGCGCTGGGCCAGCTGGAGGCTGCAAAGCAAGATTTTGCCGCTACTTCCTCCAGAGGCCTCTAGATCCTTCCCTGAGCCTCAGGAGAAGGAGCCAGGACTCAGAGAGGGCAGCACTAGGCCACAGGCCACACAGCCCGTCAATTCTGACCAAGGGGCCCGGCCCCAGGAGAGCCCAGGGCAGTGGACCAGGAATCAGGGGTGAGGTGGGACCCAGAGGCCTACAGCAAGCCCCCTGAGCCTCAGGGTCCCCATCTGCAAAGCCGAGATGGCTGGCGGCCAGAGCACAATCCCAGGACAATGTCTGCTGCCTGCTGTCCTCAGCCTCTGCCTAGCTGTGTCCCCAGCACCACCCCCAGCAGCACCCCCTGCACAGAACCTGTCACCCCCCAAACCTGACGTTCTACAAATGAGGAAAGCAGTGCCCAGAAAGGGGAGGGGACTTGACCGTGGCAGGGTGGCAGGGCTTCCTGCTCCGAGCAGGTGTTCACCGTCACAGATGTCCCCTCTGCCTCCCAGGGACGAATCCACCCTCCACTGCCTACGACAGTGATCAGATGCTACGCCTCACCGTGTCACCTGTCACCCTGGGGGACCTCGTGCTCCCACTCCTCCTCAGGCACAGAGCTGTGCCCGGGGGCCTGCCACCTGCCTTGCCACTGTCTCCACCCCAGGCATACCTGTGGGGCCAAGCAGGTGCAGGGTCGGACGGGCGCGTGGGTTCCAGGCAGGGACCGCCTTTGTGCCACTGCCTGCTGCAGTGCCCTCCCTGCTGGTGCCCTGGGTCTGCCTGGAGGCTCCCGGGCCAGGGCCTCTGGGCCGACCTTGCACCTGGGAGATGCTCATGGCTGCCCCACCCACCGGCTCCCCTGCCTCCCTGGGCGGGCGGAGAGGGCCTCTGGCCCAAGTCGGCTGGGACACCCTGGAGGCTTTAGCTAGTTGGGGTGGGGGAGGGATAAGGGGCTGCGGAGGACCCCCTCCCCGTTCTCTGTGGAGGATGGAGCCCCCAGCCGCCACCGGTCACGTGACTCAGCATGTGACAGCCTGCTCTGCGGCTGTCTGGAGCTGAGCCAGACAGAAGCAAAGGGAGCTGGTGACAGGCAGGGCTAGGCGGGGGCTGAGCCCATAGCTCTCAGCCAGGAAGTAGACTCAGAGAGCAGTCACAGGCCTAAAGCCACACAGCAAACTGGGAGCCCACCTGGGAAGGTCCTGATGGGTGAGAGGGGTGTGCCGATCCTAAAGACCCTCTCTGACCAGACGGCTGCCAGGAGACTCCCTGCAGGGCTCGAGACAGCTCGCAAGGAGGCTCCCGAGGAGGCCTGCCTGTGCTGGGTGTGGAGGCCCCTCTACCCTGGGGTGGGAGGCACCCCACCCTTCTCCTTGCCCCTGCAGGGGGGTTCCAGAGGCTCAGTGGGCCTGACGGTTGTGGCCAGGACCTCCAGGGGTCACTCTTAGAGCTGCCTGGGCCTGCACGTCTGGTGTAGGGGAGCCAGAGGTCTCGGACTTCCGTGGCCAAGCTCTCGTGTCTGGGCCAGACAGATCTGCCCACCCTCACTGCTTGCTTCTTGGCCTTGGAGTTCTCGTGTGTGTACAGGCAAGAGCAGGCCCAGGGTGTCCACAAGGTAAACGGCTGAAGCACTTAGCTCGGCACCTGGTACAGAGGCGGTGAGGGGTAGCCTGGTTTCCAGCCCCGGTCCTGACACTTGTCTGTGCGACCTCAGGTCAGTGTCTTAACCTTCCTGTGCCTCTGCATTTCCGTCTAGAGGGAAACGGAAGCGTAACACATGCCCAGGGATCCCGAGGAGGAATAGCTCAGTCCCTGCAGGTGGGTCTGGAGTCACTGGCATTTCAAGTGCCCCAACCCGACCTGGAGGAGGCCGAGAGCCACCTCCCAAACTCCAGGACAGGAAGGTGGCTCAGGCCCCAGCCAGACCCACCAGCTGCCTTCCAGACCGGCTCGATCCCACCGTCCTCCGCCAGGGTCCCTAGCTTTGGCCCTCCCCATGGCCCTTCCCTCCTCACCCACCCGCAGCCCCCATCTGCAGCGGACAGTGGAGGCCCAGGGAGGTGCCTGAGGTGGGGCCGCACAGGAGGAGGTGCCGCCCCAGCCACCCCCGCCCCGGCCTGGGCCTGCCTGGCCACGCAGTGCCCCAGACGCTGGCACTTACTTCAGAGGATGTGATGGGAAGACCCTGCTAGCCCAGCAAGGTGGCCACGCCTGAAATCCCAGCAGCTGAGGCAGAAGGACCAGGAGTCCAAAGCCTCAGCAACTTAGCAAGACCCTGGGTCAAAGAATAGAAAGGGCTGGGGACGTGGCTCAGTGGAGGAGCACTCCTGGGTTCAGTCTCCAATACAAAAAAAAATTCACCTTTGTCCTCTCTCCGAGGCAGGGGCAAGGGGCAGGGGAGGGCAGAGTGGACAAGGGTGTGGCATCGAGTGGAACCAGCGTCCTCCTTTCCTGCCTTCCCCGAGCTCCCCGGTCTCACCTGCAGACAGGCTACTCAGCTCACCTGCTGGGTGTCCCCACCTCAGGCCACAGGGTCCTCACCTCACTCCTGGGAGGACAAAAGGAGCCCAGGGGGAAAGCACCTGCCAGGATCTCAGGTATACAGGAGGTGCTCAATGAATGCAGCTGTGCTCCTGCCCCTCTCCCTGCCCTCCCGAGGAGGTGGGTGTGCTTGCTTTGTCCCTGAGGCCCAGCCCTGTGGCCTTCCACTGAGTGGGCCTCCCCTGCGGCCACTGAGCTCCTTCCTGGGGTGCAGAGTAGAGGCCACAGGGCGCAGTGCCTGGGCCCCGACCAGCACTCAACCAGCAGAGGGATGGCCCGTCACCCACTGTCGGCCCACGATGGCCGACTCCCTCGCTGAGGCTTCCCGCGGGCGATGCTTTCATTTGTAGCCAAGGTCACAGACACCCCGGTTCAGCCTGGGGACTCGGGGTCATGAGCCTCTGCTTGGGACATGCGCCCACTGACGTACCCTCTCTGTCTGACCTGCACGTAAAGAAGGCCTCTGGAGGCGATGGCTGGGCTGCTGTCACCTCCAGGTAGAGCAGTCTGCCGTCCCCACTGCCTCACATCTCCTTTCAACTTCCAGGGCCGACCCTCCTCCTGGCCTGGGCCACAGCCTGACACCGGGCGTGGCCGGCAGGATTCTGTGCCGCCAGGTGAGAGAGGCCTTCCCCCTGGCAACAGCAGCTGTGGCGCCCGGTTCTCCACCCTGTTGGCATGGATTCCCGAGGAAGGCCGGGATGCGGCGGGTGGGCTCCCTGGAGCAGGGAGAAGCCTTCAGGAACACGGAGCTCCCACCGGGGCGGCCCCCGGGAGGCGAGTGGCTGGGTGTTTTCTTACTGCCCTGGGGGTGAGCAGCACCTGGTGGGCTGTGGACCGAGCGGCCGAGCCCGGGCAGCGGCCCAAGGCCAGGAGAAGGGGATGGAGAGGGGACGGGGAGCCCACGCACAGGGCTGGGCTGCGGGAAGGATGTCCCTTCCTGCTCTGAGCAGACAGGGGGTGGCTTCAGAGAGCCCGCCAAGATGAGGCAGGTGCAAGGTCAGGAAGAGGCCTCGGGACCAGAGCCCAGTCGCTGGAGGGGGACCTCTGTGCCTTGAGAACCCCTCTCGGCCTCCCTCGTGGCTGAGAGGAGGAGGGGAGGGGGATCCACCCCTCAGGCCCTCAGTGGCAATGGGCAGCAGTGGCTGTGGCTCCTGGGCGGGCAGCAGCCAGCAAGGCCTAGCCAGGCGACCAGGCCCCCTTATTCGGCCATCAAGCCGAGCTTGGAAGACAATATAGACAGAGGCCAGCAGAGCCCTGGCCTGTGAGCTTTAGGGGTGGACAACATGTGCACTGCCCTAAAATGGAGAGGTTCGAGACTCGCCCTACAGCACCGGGAGGGGCCGAGAGCGTCCAGGTGGGCCAGGAGCCGGCGGGGGCCAGAGACCCTGGGTGCTACATGTCACTGATCCTGCACGACCTCCGGGCTTAGATGTGCTGTAACCTGAGAAGGATTTAGCTGGGGCTTATGGCAGGAATACAAATGGCTGAGACAGACTCTGGGCCGTTGGTGTCCAGTGTGAAAGGCTGCGAGCCCTCCACGTCCTGATGGAGAAGCAGCTTACAGCTGTGCATGCCGTTTGGTGGCCTGGGAGGCCATCATGGGTGCCACTGAAGTCTTGGTGCGCGGCCTGAATCCCGTGGTGGGATGGGTGTAAAGGTGGGCAATCACCCCAAGGACTGTGTGGCTCAGAGTGAGTGAACTAGTGACAGCAGAGCCCACTGTCAGCTGGCCCACGGGCTGGACTTCAGAGGTGCTGTTGCCCATGTCGGTGAACCAGCAAGAGGCCCATACCTCGGAGGGGAGGCACCTCTACTGTCCGGCACTTGATACACTGATGGCCCCCTGAGGACACCCTGGCTGCGGGAGCGGGTGTTCTCTTCCGCCCAGCCCTGGGCTTTGCCACAGCTACGCAGCCTGAGCCCCGCAGTCCTTTAGCCCCATCGTAAGGCTCTGATGGCGGCACTGGCTGCAGGGGTGACCCAACAGTTCCTGCACAGGTTGACTGCAACGGCCCGGTGGCCAGAATCTGGTGCAAGAAAAGACATCTTTCAGAACTGTGTCCCCCAAACTGGCCCCAGTACCAAACCACCGGCCGTTGGTCCCGCCCACTGCCCTGCCCGCCAGGCGGTTGGAGCTGCATCTCCTGGTTTTCGGGGAGCAGCTGTGCCCTGCGCCAGTGCTGCCCCGCCCCCCGAGCTGAGCCCCTATCGAAACCTCGCCTGCGTGTTCCCCAAACATGGCTCTGTTTCATTCCCATGGTCACTGAGTCAGAGTTCCTGTCTGGCACCAGAAGGGAAAGGGGAGGAAGTGACGCCATCAAAAAACTTGGAATGGAGCCACCATCTGACCCAGCTACCCCACTCCTTGGCATACACCCAGAGGACTTAAAACTATCATGAAGAAACCACATCAGTGTTTACAGCAGCTCAATTAATAGCTAAACCATGGAGCCAACCTAGGTGCCCTTCAACATGAATGGAAAGAAAATGTAGTACATATTCACAATGGAGTATTGCTCAGCCTTAAAGGAAAATAAAATCATGGCATTTGCAGGTAAAGAGACGGAACTAGAGAACATCATACTAAGTGAAATAAGCCAATCCCCAAAAACCAAAGACCGAATGCTCTCTCTGACAGGCAGATGCTGATCCATGGGCGGAGGGGAATGAAGGAACTTTGGATTGTGCAGAGGGGAGTGGGGAGGGCTGTGGGATGGGAAGGACGGCAGAATGAGACAGACCTTATTACCCTATAAATGTATATGATCACACTCCTGGTGTGACTCTGCACCATGTTCAGCCAGAGGAAGGAGAAGCTGAGCTCCATTTGTGTACAGTGGGTCAAAAGGCGTTCTACTGTCATGTATAACTGATTAGAACAAGTTCAAAAAACATATGAGGGAGGCCAGCAGAACAGGGGAGATGGGGCAGGGAGGGGAGGGAAAGGGGAGGTACTGGGGAATGAAATTAACCAAATTAGGTGTTATTGTGTGCCCGTGTGAATATATGATAACGAATCCCACTGTTGTGTGTCATTACAATGAGCCAATAAAAAAGAAAACAAGGAGGGCATCAGGGCTGGGGCGCGGCTCAGTGGCGGAGCGGAGCCTGGGCGCGTGCGAGGCCCTGGGCTCCATCCCCAGCACTGCCAAAAAATAAATAAGTAAAACAAAAAAGGAGTTTATTTTAATACGGCAACTTAGTGTTAGAAGTTACAAATGAGCTTCAGGAGGATTCCAAGGTAACAAGGGTTTTAAATTAAATAACTCTGAAAACTTAAAGGTGGGGTCACTCACGGACAGGCAGCACCTAGTGGAGCCGTCCCTAGGCTGGGGGGTGGGCACAGGGAGGTGACCGTGGTGCGTGGACTCTGGAGCCTTTCTCACTGGGGCCCACCTCCCCTCCTGGAGCCGTCCCGTTCATCTCCTTCCTTCTCTTGGCTTCTATTTCTTAAAACACATCCCTCTCCATTTCGTCTTGGGGGTCGGTGATGGTTAATTTCAGGTGTCAGTTTGGCGAGGCTGCAGTTAAGATACTTGTCTAGCATTACTCTAGATGTGGCTGTGAAGGCATTTTGGGAATGAGATTTACAGTTAAATCAGTAGACTTTGGTGTGTGTGGTGCTGGGGTGGAACCCAGGGCCTTGCCCGTACAAGGCAAGTGCTCTACCACCAGGTGGGTGGGCCTTATACAATCAGTTGAAGACCTTCACTGAAAAGGTATGAAGAGGGGATTCTGGCAGCAGATGGCATTCAGACCCACACTGTCCCGCTTCTCTCTCTCTCCAGCCTGCTGGCTCACCCTGCAGACGCTCCCTTCCTCCCCATTAAGGGTCAGGAGTCCTGTTCCAGGAGTTCCCTGGATGACAAATTGTGCTTGGGACATTGGAAATGCACCTCTACCTTGAAACAAACCCGTGAGGTCTTCTCCTCGGCTGAGCAGTGGATGTGAAGCCTGGCCACGCCTCCCAACGGCGGGCTTGGACAGCAGCTTCAAGAGACTGCATCTTAGAGCTGCCTGGCCCCGCGGAGCTCAGTCACCTCCTTCTTCCTCCATGGGATTTCCGTGGGCCTGTGGTCACACCGGACACCCCATCCTGCCTGTGTCTCCAGCCTGGTGCCCCCTCCATCTAGGGGTGTAAGGTCTCCTTTTCCACAAGCTCCTACACATCTGCTCTGACCCAAGGTTGTGCCCCCTGGCCACTAGGCTGTCCCTCCATCTGATTTCCTGTCTGCAGAATTCCTTTGTGCCTATCATCCTGGGGTGTGTGGAGGGCCAGGTGAGGGGCTTCCCACACTAATGGCCAGAGAAGACTGAAGGGCCAGGGCTGGGGGACACCCTGGGACCCGCTCCATGGCTGGAGGGCCCTCACCTCTGTTTCTTTCTGGTGTCCATCTGAATAACACCAATTCAATGTTCAGATGAACCCAAGATCCAGTAAAGTGAAGGTGAAGAATTTTAAAGGTAAAACGAGGAGAATTATGATCGTTTTAAAATAATCCTCAGCTACAAGAATCAATACCCACAGCGCCCACCCGAGGCTGGACAGGCGGCTGTCCTCCAGGCGTCTTTGTGCGAGGTTGATTGGCAGAGTCCAATAATGGCTCTGGGCACAGGCGTGTGTGGGTGACAGCTCCCCCCTTCCTTATGGCCTCGGACTCCCTTTTGTGAGGGTCTGACAACTTGGAGGATAGTCCTGAGACCCCTGCTGGCCCCAGAGCACGTGGGCAGTTATCCAGGGGCTGGCAGAGGGGAAAGCGCAGGCCTCAGGGACCTTAGGAGCAGATCTGGGCTCAGGCCCACCAGCCCATCCTCTGCACGGTTTCAGGGGGTATCCTCCTGGGAGGTAGAGGCTTGTCCTCCTCCCTCCCTTGGAGCCTCCAAACCGCCCTTTCCGCCCCTGCCCACTGCCGGCAGCCACACCCGGAACCATCTCTCTGCCTCCTGGAACATGCCTGTCCCCTGAATTCTATAGGACCCAGTGTTCCTGGGGCATCAAAGCACACTACCCCCCCAGCCCATGGCCACTCACCTCCAGGCCACCCTGGCCACACCTGCATTTTGTCGTCACCCAGTGAGCCCTGGTATCCACTCTGGCCACAGTTCCCGGCTCCAGAAACCCAGGGCATCTCCATTCCCCCACTTCCTCCTGTCCAGCACCTCAAGCCCTGCCCTCTCTCCTGCTTCTTGTATGGCTCCCACCTCCAGGCACCCACCGGCAGGAGTTCACCCTCTGTTTCCCCCACAGCTGCACCTGGGTGTCCCCTGGGTGAAGTGTTGCTATCTTAAAGCCTGAGGCCCCTGTAAATTCACATACCCATGTCCCCAGTCCCCAGACTTCCCAGTGACCCCTCTGTGGGGGGAGGTGTTTGTTAATTATCCATCCATCCCGTCCCACTTACCGGTCACTTAGTATGTGCCCAACACGGGTGGGGGGAGGAGGGGAGCAGTTGGTTTGGTGGGAAGTTAAAGCCCAGAAGCCCAGATACAGGGTCTTCAGGGTTGGCCTCCCGCACTGAGCGCCGAGGCTGGGAATGGCCCTTCTGGGAGGAGCAGGGAGGGAAGGCACCGGAAGGAGCCAGGAGGTCAAGGGAACTGGATATTTTAAAAGGTCTCCCAGATGGTTCCAGCCAGGTGGACAGCAGGGCTGTGGAATGTCAGTGGCCGCAGGGTGGCAACTTCACGGGCTCCGGGGGCCCTGGACCCTCCGGCGCCTTGGACCCTCCTCCGGGCGGTGGTGGGGCCACCCTAGGCCACCCCCACCCTAGGCCACCCCTAGGGCCTAGGGGAGCCACAGTCCCGCCCCCTGCGCCCTCCCCAAGCTCAGGA